GTAATATTTTTCCTTATATTACTGGTGCCGTGTTTGTTCACTGGTTTTGATTGGCCGCCTGATGTTTACGGTCCAAGTGTCGGCGACGTCTGTTCCAAGGTCACGGCTGATAGAGTTGGTTGCTCTGATCAACAAAGCTTCTTTGACCATGCGGGAAAGATATTGTTGTTCCCGCGTGACTCCTTTCATTTTGTCCCATGAGATGTTGTGTTGGTGGATAACAGCATGTTGCGTAATGGCAGAATTTTTCTCACCTTCTGTCTTTACAACCCCAGGGTCTTTCGTCTGTCTCCGACCTCTGCCGACTTGCTATTGACCTCTCTCGAGCACTTGGTATAGCCTATGAGACGTTGAAATGCTGGTTAAGCAGTTTCTGAGATGGGTGACAGGGCTTTTAGTACCTGCACAGATTTCGGTTCCTTTGTCACGATTGATACCGTCGAAAGATTGGATGATTTATTCCTCCTTGACACGTCTGTGCAAGCAGTGTCATTCTTTGAGGATTTATTTGATTTCGGAATTTGGCAAACTGGGGTGTGCAAACAGCTTGTGATATCTGTGTGGTAGCGTGATGATGGCATCGGCTCCTGAATCATTGTTCGTGATGAGCATGAGGTTGTTCTGGCAGACAAAATAACGCGAGATACATCTGACGCTGAAAGTACTTAAACACCATTGGGCCATAGTCTGCTCAAATTCTTCCACAGTTAAGTGGGATTAAAGATGCTGTACGATGAGCGCGATGAAATGTAGCCCAGGAAGCGTCATTTGAGTATTAATGTCTCGTAAAATTAGCTGTGCACCAGTACAATATAATGTGGTACATGATTGTATATAGCTTGTTTACGAATTTAAATTTGTCTGAATCAGAAACGGTTCTTGACAATGCAAGAGTCTTCTCAATGTGAACATATACATTTGCAGACACGCTGGCGCACGATATTTGGCAGAGTCGCGCCGTGTTTTGTACTTGCAAATCATTTTTGCTTGTAGAACTGCGATAGGATTGTACCTTCTCCCATTTCTGAGTGTATCTTGTTTCTAAATAGCTTTAACATTGCTTATTTGCTCTGCGAGTGTAAGTTTATTTTAAATGCATTGCTTTTTACGAATTGTTGATGTAAAGTTAAGTAATTGATAAATTGTTGATGTTATAAAAATTTAACATATATGATTCATCAAATCTTCGTTGGAAACTTTGAATGTGTCAAATCTCGCCTAGATTTGATTGAGCTAAAAATGAATGATAGATGACTAACATCGTCTGTTTGTTAGAGAGATGGACGTAAAGGTGTTCGATTATTCATCTCATTTCTGTAGCGTTAGATGGGCCTTGTTCAAGGTCGAGTCGCGTGTTGGCACACCGGAGTTCGATTTCCGTGGCAAGCAGTCTTCAGTTTTTTAATTCTCTTGAGCAACGAATTTACCACACATTTGCTTTAGAGTATGGTTACTCTGTCGGTAGAGCGTCGAAATCGGAATGGGATGGAATCGGTCCTGGGTTCGAGCCCAGTTATTCACTGCTTTATTCCTTCCGGGGTTGATAAATGAGTACCACTGTGGTACATAAATGGGCAGGAAACAAGAGAATAGAAACTGTGCTTGTCACATAAATGCTTTTCACTGTCCTACTCATAAGATTGAAATTTTTTTTACTGAAGTGTGTTTCCATCCTCAGAGGCCTTTTTCACCTTATTTTTTTCAGTAGTTGGGCGTAATTTTGTGTTAATGCTACGGCATAGTTTCAGATCGGCATTTTGGATAACCATAACTTTGTGTATATAAGTGAAAATTATTTAAATATCTCGATTTACACCAAAAATTATTGAATGGGATCATTATACCATCAATGTAGAGAATTGATGCCATTCATTTGCAACGAAATCTCTTCGACTGGTACACGCCGATATTTATTCAAATGAAATCTTAGGTAGTATATGAAATAGTTGGCATGTTAAATTGAACGTGTTAAAGTTTGAACGTTTGTTGGTTATATGATTATCATTTAGTAAACAAAATGTGGTTGTTATGCTCAGTTTCATTCATTAATTTGTTTTAGTTCTATCGATGTTTATTTGTCGTTTGGTTTGTATGAATATTTTTATTTTTTGATATTCAGACAATGAGCTTTCTCGCTTTCAACAACAAGTTATGCTTTTATTTAAGTAAATCGTATCAATGACCCCTAATTCATTCATAAAATTTAGTCAGACTTTTACTCTACTTTTATTCGTTAACTACACAAATCTACTTTTTGCGGAAGAGAAGCGTTGAAACATAATTCTACTGGTATACATGGCTTTAAGAAAGTCGCACAGTTATCTCGGCATTTTTCGTGATTGGGATTTCTTACCGCAGGGTGGGAATGCTTGTTGTTATACGAAGCTGTTTCATCCATGCGTCAGGTTTAAGGGATTTTTTAGGATGTATCTATTTACACCGTTCGAATTTATGTCTAGCATTCTGGTACTCATCAGCTGACTGCTGCCCGTTGGTAGTTTGAGCAAGTTCCTGGAGTAGGTTATAAAGAGGTACTACGAGTGGATTCTGTCACTCTCACCTTGCATTGCTATGAGGGTCAGCCTTTTCAGAGTTTATAATTGCGTAATTGTTTCGTTGCTGATCTCAGCTTGCAGCTCAGTATTTTGGCTGTTTATATGAATTTTGCTTGTTTGTGGACAACGTACTAACTTCCAGCTGCAATTATTAATGAAAGTACACAATATAAAATTAGCTTCGACTACTTCCGGTAAAAAATGGTGTAATTAGTTCTTACCATCCATCGATTTTTGGCCATTGTCGGCAATTACGATGAGGATGATGATGTGGAGGAAGAAGTCAAAGACAGAGGAAGACGACCGTAGTGTTGATGTAAATAACCAATACACGCCCTTTATCGCGATCACATGGCGTGGTCTGACTCTCACTTGCTTCTAGAATACGGTGGCTTAATTGAATACGTAATGGTTCAATGGCATTAATGGTGTTAAGCAATTGTTATCTTTAGAAAATCTGGCAATTTTGCTGTTTTAATTTCTGCATATTGTATATCGTGTTTTACTTTGTGCCGTTCATGTTGGCGTCTGTAGCGACTATTTGATTTACTTATGCCAGATATCTATTTTAATATTTACACACTTTAGCTACCAAATGGCTGACGAGACGATTGCTGATTTTCTTGCACGTGAAAAAGAGGAGTTAGCCGGTTTGGAAGATGTCCCCGTTGGTATGTTTCTTGTAATAAATGTATGAAGTTTAGTTGTGCATGACCTGTCGACTTCTCGGTTTTGTACGTACAATAGCATAATCCCTCCCTCTCTCTGAAGTCCAGACATTTAAATAGACCTCTTTCACTACATTCTGCTGCTGAACCATTTTTCGAATATTTGCCTAGTTTTGAATCTATCTGTCTGTATGCCATCTATCTACGTACCTTCTATCCATGACCATGCATGGATACTGACCAGGAGTGCAGTCGTAAATGCATATTGCTTAAATGAGTTACTTTCTAAAAGTTGCTGATGCGAAACTGCTCAAAAAGCTGCACAAGATTAGAAAATGTCTTCGCTTCGGAGTCCCTCTTCTGATCTGGAATTTACATCTGTGATTAGGATTGCGGAGGACTGACTCATAGGGCAATAGTTCTTTTTTTGCCACGTAGTAAAGATCAGACCCACAGCCAGCTGGCTCAAATAAATCGAACAGAATAAAACAGTTACGACTGAAATTTAGCCGCTGGGGTTTGCATGGTCGGCAGAAGGTGTAGGCCATTGTAAAATCTTCTTGAAAATGGCGTTCCCTGACTCGAAATATACAGTTGGCTGTTTAAGATAAGTCGTGGTCGTCATCACAAAATCGACGTATCTTCGGCGTTACTCTCCTTACAACCACTGCATTAGAGGAGAATTTCTCCTTGGCGATCAGTCATTTGGCATTACACGTGGTTTGATGCCGGAGTCGTCGGATTCTCTGATGAAAAAAATTTCTTTGTCCTTCAGGATTTGGTAAATATCTTGACTACTGTACAATTTGATGGGATTTATTCGGCATATCCGTATTTTAGGCAGATTTACCTTTAAGAATTACAGAGATTTAGGTGTATGGATACTGTTGTCTCGTTAGCCGAACATTTACTGTTACGACTGGCACCGTAGAAAGTGAAAAGAATATGTCCTACTATAATTCGCATTAACATTCGATCACCTAAATCGTGATAGGGTGATTTATAATCATTGATCATTGTACATAAACATAACCTTTTATAGCGTAAGCGCTGAATTTCGTTCATCATGGTTAAATAAGCCCTTTTTTGGCATTTTAAAACCAGGATACCACCGTACCATTGTGAGATATTACCCGCTATTGACCTCGTTATTTGCACGTTGTCAGAGCTTTGTAGCCAGTGTAAGGTTTGTTCCATTGTTTGTTGGTTTTGCTGTTTGTTTTATGTTTAAAATCAACTAGGGGTAGTTTATTCCAATGACTGAAAAGTCTGACAAGCCTCTGCACCGAGATATATGGCAAAGTCTCACTCCGTCTCTCTTGTAGATGTTAAGAAACCAGTTTTAGCAGGCTAAGGTTCAAGTATCATTGAGTGCACATGGTGCTTGGTGGATGCACATCAGGATTACAATGCTGGCTATAAAAACGTCAATTTTCAACCAAACGTTTGTGGTTAGAACAGTGAGAATGCTTTTTGACCTAAAAATATAACATGACGATTTTAGATTTAATAAACTGAATGTAAATTAGAATTAATGAAATTTTAGGTTTTGGATTCTGAACCCATGGTTATATAGATAGATCGTTGAACAATGCATGGTTCAAGATACCAAGCACAATAGAAGGTAAAACCTTTATTGCCAACGCATTTCACTAAACAGACCGTAGCATCATTAGTGCTAAACTGACCACAAATGGTTGCTTGAAAGCGCTTATATCCAGCAAGCAAACAAAACTATTTTCAGCTGGCCCAATGCTATGCAGTAAAGCACAGATAAACTGCTTGACCAGAATGGCAGAAAACGAACACAGTGCAAAGTTCACATTAAGAACGCAATCGGATCTTTGTTATGTTAACCCAGCTTTTGGTATTATATTCGTGATTGTGCTCAGCTTTTTCTAATAACCTCAGAAGCTGTGTATTTATTACTCATCCGGTATTTCATTGCCAATTTATGCAAGAACTATATATTCAGATATTTCGTAGAATGGTCTTTGTCTGTGAGAGACACATCGATCTGACCGAAAGAATGCCTTTGGGTGTTCGCATGCTGGGAAATACCGGAATTGTCCTTTGATCCCAGGCGTAGCGCAGGTAGGTGCACTCTAATCCAGATGTTCAGCTTTCGGTGGGTCTTTACAATGTACACCTCATCGCAGTCTCCGCACTAAACTCCGCACGCAATGTGTAACACACTTCTGCCAATTGCCCAATGTTCTGCCAGTCTTGTAGTGGACTCTAAAGCCAGTGTCATTAAGGTTGCATTTTGATACTTTGAGATAGTTGGGGTATGAATGGTAAAATTGCAGTTGGTCCATATGCACAAAAATCTGATCGCATTTTTAATGTTAACTCTATATTGTGTTTTTTGGTTAACACCTTGGCCAACAGTTTAATTTTGTTGTAAAGTACGGACCAATTGGAAAACAATGGTACTGTTCGCTTGTTGGATATAAGTGTCTTCTAACAGCCATTTGTGCTCAGCCCAGCCCTGATTATGCTATGGATTATGTAGTCAAACGCTTTGGCAATTAAAGTTTTACCACCTACTGTGATTGGTACCTTGAACCATAAATCGTTCAAGCATCTTTCTAAACTAGAGTCAATTTACATCAATAGTTTTATGACGAGTGATTCTTTCGAATAATTACACTGAATTATACACAACGAAGTCCATAGATTTGCTTTGCTTTTAAAGGTCTAGGAGGACCCTTAAGTAGGTCAAGGCTCAGATGACAGAGATTGCATTCGTACTTAGGTGGTTTTTTCTTCTTTGAAAATTTTGAAATTTGACGAGGCAAAACGATGTTGCTTTAGTTAACGGCACAGGAATTGCATTGTTTGAACGACAGAATGGCGATACGAATGACGATAATCTCTTTGGCATCCATTCCTCATCGAACAACGTAGGTGCTGGCGACGGCGATGACAGCGGCTTATTTACCGCTGATTCGTTGCCACAGAATGCCGAGGCAACGAAGCAGCCCAGCGGAGTAGCTGCCCCAGAGGTCGTTCGTGAGGTGCCAAAAAAAATTCTCAAATGGAAAGAGGAACAGAAATCTCGACTAGAGAGCAAAGGTATGTACTACTTTGCTAACTTTTACTAAGCTAACTTAAATAGCTTCATTATTTCATTGTGTTTCTTTTTTTTGTTCATCATCGCTTTCAGATGCAAAGGAAGAGGCTGAGAAACAAAAATGGCGAGAGCAGGCGAAAGCCGAGTTGGAAGAGTGGTACAAAACACGCGCCGATCAGCTGGAAGCCGTCAAGAAGAGCAATAGGTACCATTAATAGCCTATATTCGTATAAACTTCTTGTGTTTGTTTAAAAAGCAAGCAATAAACTTTCAGTGTTCAACTTAAGTTCATCTGTGCAAACATAGGATAGTGTAGAATATACGCACTGATTTTTTTAAGATAGTAAGATATAACTGTCTTTACGGTATGAATAAATATTGACCGCTCAGCAGATTTACACGGTTGTTGATTTGTTTTGTTTTATTTTGGGTAATCGATCAGTGAAACTGTTCTGGTCAGTGGTCAATAAGACTGCTTTAGTTAGTATCTAAAGGATAACAGCCTTCATCAATTCAGTCTAAGTCAGTATGACTGTCTTTCGTTAAGCTACATGATAAGTGGCTAAGGAGCAGACCAAGGGCTAGATGACTCGAATGCATAGAATATCTGGCGTCGCGCTTTGCAATCCATACATTTAACCTGCTCGATTGGCGGAAATGCTGGGATCTATGGAATCTTCTGTGCCACCAAGTTACTGTCTAGGAATGCTTACAATGAGAATTCCTTTAACAGTGGAACAGCTGACTGTGACAGTGGCCTGATGAATTGACAGTTAATTGTATATGGCCAAGTCTGTGGCGTCACCAAATAGTAGAGTGGTGAAAAATCTGAATGTTCCTGGTTTCCGTACAGCTGATCGATTGATTTACCACTTTGTTTCAGCCAAGAGTTTGACGTTTGATCCTTTAATACTGATGACAGATACGTCCCATTCGTTTGGATAAAATTTTGACACTAAGATCCAGCTAATATAACGGTACTGCAAGTGTTGAAAAGAAGTATTATTATTTTGACCCAGTGGTTAAAGTCAGTTTCCTCTGCCCTAGCGGTCAACTATATTTGGAATAGAGCACCATTGTACGACCTTCTTCTAGATCTTTCCCATCCTTGCACAAACTCTGGTATCCAGTTTCGTCCGTTCCAATGTATTCCTTTGCGAAACCTAGAGGCTGTCCGCAGTATGTATCGACGAGACGACTTTCTTGAGCAGACCTGCTATCCACGGCCATGTTTATTTGGCGCAGCTATCCTAATACCGACCACCCACTGTTGGTGATGAATCTATCATGATAGCTGGTTGACAGTTTCGGAAACCGAAGGTTCAACTTCAGTTTTTCATTCGTTTTTTCATGAAGTCGAACACTTTTAGGTACGCTTTGAGCTAAGGAAAATAAAATCCCTTAAATGAGGTTTTTCCTGTAGTATAATAATTCTCTGTGAAACAAACTCCACTACAATGTTTCTTTTACTTCTTTATAATGTTTTCCTCTCATAAGTTATTATGCATTTTACAGTTATAATCATTGAGCGAATCCTCAGGTTTTCTTTATACAGCCTGATTTTTTTCTAACAGTTAATGATTTTTTGTTGACAGCCTCTCTAATCGTATTTTTGGTATGTTGTCTCACTACGACTTATTATGGCTATGCATCTGTATTACAGCTGTTAATTCTCCTTTCGCTCACACAATACTTGATTGAAACCTAGATGCAGAAAATTTTCAGCTGATAAAGTCTCTTCTTTGACAATAACAGACATAATATAGCTATTAAAGTTTCCTTGTGTCATCAAGTGTTCCTTCTGGGTTGTTCGTACTTTTGTAATTCGCCACCTTAGAGTTGCGGAAGCGGAATTTGTGAAGAAAATCGCCGACACTCAGCCGGGTCAAGAGTGGGAACGGATCGCATCTATGTGTGAATTCAGTCCGAAGTCGTCGAAGAACGTTAAGGACGTCAGTCGCATGCGATCCCTCCTTCTTCAGTTGAAGACGAAGCCGCTCGTTCGTGAACAGTGAAATTATATAGGTTTATTAGCACACATGTTATATTAGTATGTATGTTAGTTTCCTTATGTTTTGTTTCTTATCTTTGTTTTTCTCTTCATTCCGTTCAATCATCAGTCGTCAGTTGTATTGTGATATCGTGGCCGGCAGAAAGCTGACGTTGCTTTCAGTAATGCAACCGGCACCTGAACTTTTTGGAGACCTTGCTGTGAGTGACCATTATGCGCAGTGGATGGAAAATTTGCATTTTTGCAATGCAATACCGATTACCGAAGTAAATATATTTCATGGTACTGTGGCAGACATTTGTCAGGCTACCGTTAGAATTTGTAGCACACGAGAAGAAATATTGATACCGCATTTGAACCAGACAGCCGTGATGTGAGCATTTGCTCTTTTGTTATACGTTGAAATTCTGCCAGTGATGCGACTGCTTCTACACAGATCGGGTGATGCACTTCGTAATTTCTGAGTGCCTCCTCTAAGCACTTCGCTGCATTTCCCATATGACTATCCATAAGACCCCAAGGATATTTCTTTAATCTTTTTTTAATGCCACTCATCGATTTATCCCGTTTTTCATGTCCATGAATCGTTTTCCTCTGTTCAGAGGGTAGACGAACTGACAAAAATTTGTAATGGTTTCTTTGGCGATTACTGCAGAAGGTTGCCTCAAATTTCTTCGTCCGGTTTTACAGCCAAATTGGCTTTCTTTTATATGTATTTGTCCTAAAGACATTAAAGTTTGTTTACCCCTGTTTACTATATTTCTGTAGTTAATGACCATTTTAGGGTTTATGATAAACCTCCGTGTCCAAAAAAATTTCATTCGTTAAATTTTTTCTAACCATGAGATTTCTTATTTTAGTTATTACTCTTTCTGTTCCTAAATTTGTTTATGACTTTGACAATGCACTTATGAAGTATATTTTTACATAAAAGCATTTGTTGTCTTTCTGCCTATGCGGTGTTAATACTTTAATAATCTTCACAGAGGTAGATATTAATTTGTACTATAGCTGTCAGTTAGTTGATTTGCTCTTTTCTACAGTTATTTCGTAATGGGAAACAATTGTTCGAGCGAAGCGATATTATAAAAATTGATTTCTGCATTAACTCCAGTCTGCATTAGGAAACTATCATAAGACTTGTTGAAACCGGTTTGTAAAGGGCTTCATCGTCCTCAAGTTTCCAACTTTGCATGCATAAACCTTATTAAACTTTGCTTTTGAACACAATCAATCAAAGGCAGCCGGCAACAAGCTAATCACACACTGCTTATAATACACCACCATAACGATTTGAGCAAAACTGTCAAGTGTTTCTCACTCATAGATAAGTTGCGAAGCCATGTCAGCGGGGTTCATTGAGTTGGTGCGTCAGGTTTTTTCTTCATCTCTTTCTGATGAAAGAAATTTTTGTTCCAGCTTTTCAACGAATATCGGCAACCCGGAGCTATGAGCAAGCAGCGCTATTTGAAGCGGTATTGTTTCAAGGCCTATTTCTGCTGATAAACCGCATTCATCATCGGCACGTTCGGCAGTGGTATCGACTCTACGACCGGGCTACGGACGCTGGTGTTAGCGCTTCTGTTCGGCCTCTCCATCATTTGACTGAAATCCAACCGGAAGTCGGAAGCCTCTGTTAGAAACAGGTCGCGCATGTTCACTGCGGTGGTATCGTCATGTCGCGTGACTGGGCGCTTTGGGGGTTGTTTCTCGATCTGCTGTTCTTCGATCAGCTGAGTTACGGCTATCTGGAATTGTCGCAGCTGGTCGGACAGCATCATTATGTTGTCCTTGATCTCGTTGCCGACGTTCACCAACGTGCTCAGTATCTTCTCGTCAGTCAAGTTTCTCTCCAACAGCTGTTTGTTGACAGATGCAGAAGCCGCACGCATCGACGCTAGCTTTTGCTGCATCGATCCCTCGACTGGCTTGCCTCCAACCTGACCATTCTAAAGAAACAGTCGTAAAGTGAAAACACGATGCCTCAATGCCACACTACTTTATTCAGCTTCGTACTGCATAAAGGATAAAACGATCACAGTAGGAGTATTGTTTGTAACAGT